GTTCTTGGGCTAAAGATAAGGTGCCCAACCATCCTCCTTTAGGGAGGGCAGTCTTCCTTTTGTAAGTTCTGTCCTCTCTTGAAAAGTGTCCTCCTACAATGCCCTCCTTTTTGATATTTGAAGATTAATCTTCAATTTTTCCAATTTTTTTTAGAACCAGTTCAATATTTTTTAGCTTTGGGGCAAAGCCACCACATATGGAAGAAGGTACCGTGCCTCTGTCCATATTTCCAACAATTTGGTTTCAAATTAGGATATATTTTGCCCAATCTTATTGGGCCAATGATAAAACATCTTATATTGATTCTCCTTTTATGCTGCGGATCTTGTTATTTTGTAATTCCTGCTCCAAATTCTTTCCTAATCTTCTAACTCTATATTGTGTCAGAATTTTTGGCCCATACTCTCATGGGCCATTTTACTACTTCCTCTTCCAATTTGAAATAGTTATATTCTTGTTAATTTCTCTTCTGGGCCAACCAAAATTTTATCTAGTTGTTGTGGCTCATTATCAAATCCATATTCTTCTGCATCCATTTTATATCTTGTTTGCAGCTGCAGGTATGGCCACCAATCTATAAATATTCCTTGATCTTTCAACTCCAGGTTAGTTTAATCCTTTGAGTATATTCTTCTTTTAGGACCTGTGGATTCCTGTTTTTCTTTTGGCCTCTCCATGTTATTTTAAGGGAGTTATGGTCCACCCATATGTTTGGCAATATTTCTATCGTCTCTATCTCCTTCCCCAGTTCCCCATTCATCCAAGCCATGTCAATCCTTGATCATGACTTGTGTGGGTTGGAATAAAAAGTAAATTTGTTTTCTTCTGTATTTAAATTTCTCCATGTATCTAACAGGTTTAATTCCTCGGTCATCTCAAAGAAGGTTATTGGTAACGTATTCCTTTTCTTTCTATTTTTTATTGATATTATAGTCATTTTTAATATCCATCACTGCATTATAATCACCAACTATCATACATTCCCTTGTCCTATTTCTATAATTTTTTTCATGCAACTTCCTATAAAACTCTTTCTGCTTATCATTGGGTGCATATATAACTACAAATAACATTGGTTTTTGGCATATCATCATTTCAATCATTAAGATTCTCTCATTTGCATCCACATATATTTGTTTTGCTTTTATTCCTTCTCTAATATATACAGCTATCCTTCCCCCCCTCTGCCAGTGCTACATAAAGTGATCCTAATTTGGTATATTCTAAATATTTCTCATTGTTTTTTAATGCGTACCTTCTGCAGGCACACGATATCTACTTTCCGTTTTACTAATTTTGCTAACATTTATTTTCTTTTAGACGGTGAGTTTAATCCGTTGATGTTGATTGATAATAGTTTTATTTCTTCTTCTGTATTCTTATTTATAGACTCGTCTCTGTCTTCTTTTGGTCCTTGTGTCTGTATTCTTGTTCTTATACATTTTTCTTCTTGATGTTCTTTCTCCTCCTTACTTCTTTCTTCTTGATCTTTTTCTTTTGTTCCATGTTGCTGGTCTTCTTGACTTTTAGTTTCCAATTCTTCTCTATTGCTATATTCCTCCTCCGTCCCCACAAATTGGTCATATAGTTCTTGTGCCTTAAGTTATCAATCTTAATCTTCTTGTCTTGCCAAGATACCAGCATCCCTTCCGGTGTTATCCACCTGAACATTATATTCCCTTTATTCAATTGCATTGCCAAATAGTGGTAATCCTTTCTCTGCTCTCGTACTCTTCTAGGGATCTGCTTCAAAGTTATAATTTCTTTATCCTTATAAATCATGTCTTCTTCTTTGGTCTCCATCACATTTTGGAATCATAAATAAAATGCTGCACAGTCCATTTCTAAATGTATAAGTGAATCTTCTAGGTCTTTATTCATCTTCATCATTCTTCGATTTACCAGCTCCTATTTATTTTCCATTTGTTCCATTCTAGTTTCTGCTGTTCTTATTTTTTGTTCATTTTTCTCCATTGCCTGCTGTATTGTACCTCTTTTATCATCTAATTTATGAATGTCACTTTTCATTTCTCCCATTTCCGATTTCATTTCTCCGTGGTTCTTAAACATTGTTTCTTGCAACTTCACCATCGTCTTCTTGATTGCTAGTAGCGTTGATTGCTTGGTTTGCATGTTTGATGTAGTGTTTGATTTTTCTGCACTAAAAATCCTTTCAATTGACCTTTGATTGGAAGGGGAAGCAATCACCACTGATGGATTAGATGCTGCTTTTTCCCGTTTTCAATGTTGTTGTAGTGCTAGTCATTTCTTTTAGGATTCTATTCTGTTCTCTTAAGATGTTATATTTATTTTCCCAAATTACCATCCAGTAAGTATATTTTAGTATTCTTTATTATTTTAATCTTAAAATTAAATTTCCCCACAGGCTTTTCTGAGCTTGCTTTCATACTCTAAATTTCCTGTCCCCTCTACTTTCAATTTTTGTATAATATAGGGATCACCTCTTAATCAACCTTCAAAAGCCAATACCAAAACTCCCAAGTTCATCAATACCATATACACCATATAATACAATAAATCAATTAATTCTATTCTTATTAACACCTTAATGTGTTAATCAATTAGATACTTATTATAATAAATATTATAATATAATATTTATAATATTATTATAAATTATACTACTTGTCTATTATGAATTTATATGAATAAACATATGCTTTATATAATAATGCTATGAGTTATCTGTATTTAATGTATATCTACCAACTTTACAGCTCTAAGATGCTTCCATCTAATATAAAGAATTACTTTATTCAGAGTAGATTGTAGTTAATTATAATGATTTCATTCACTTCCTCCTGATTTCAAATGTTCAGTTTAGTACCACTTAGTCCAAGTCCTTCAGCATTGTCATTTCTGCCGTATATTGTATACCATCTAGTAGAATCGTTAGATCTTATGAGGGATTATAGATCCCCCTTCAGTCTCACTATCGCCGGCTCTTTCTCAGTTTCTTTTCCTTTCCAATACACAACAGTGCTTTCTGCCCATTTAGGTCTGCTCCACTTTTATAGCTCACTTTCGCTCTCGCTCAATTTCATCTCATTCAGTTCTTCCTGATTTCTCTTAGTCTCTCCCACCATGGTGCTTAGTCATGTCTTCTTCCTCTCCAAGTATCAAATAGTGTCTTCCCTCCACCTCTATATTTCCACCTCTACCATCTCTTTCTGCAACTGATCTTGTTCTTTCCTCACCTCAGTCTCTGCATCCTATCTTCTTTTCTGATTTTTCTCTGGTTAAGCTCTTTTTACTTTTGCAAAGTCACTGTTTGCACCTCCATGTCGCCATTGTCCTGGTGTTGTGGTTCGCCGGCAGCAGGTGTGGATGGCAGAGGTCTCTGATAGCAAGGACTCAGATGAGGGACCTGGGTGTGATGCAGGGATGGAGACAGGACTTTTTGAGAGTGGGGTGCTGCTTTCGGAACTTGTGGAGTCTGGCAGCAGTGATGCAAAGGACCCCGGAGAGCCTGTGCCCAGTGCGTGTGCATGTAGGGTTGCTCAAAGGAAAGATCAGCTGAAGCAGCAAGGGCGACTTGGGAGTAAAGCTGGAAGGTGATGGCCTCTCCCATAAGGGATAAAAACCAGCCCTCGGGGTTATTTTCTTTGCAGGAAGCAAAGAAGTTCTTTAGACTCAGAGTCTTCATTGAAGCCCTGCTTATCCCGGTTTGTTTTTGAAATTTCTGTCGGTGGATATTTAATTAGTAATTAATCTTCTGTTCTTGGCAGTCTTTTGCAACCTTGAAAAAGCTTTTGATGCTGAATGTTGATGCTGATAGAAATAATAGAAATAGAGCATAAGCTCTCAGCGTACATTCAAATAGCAAAGTAATTGTCAGAGTATATTCATGAACTGGAATACAGCTTAGTAACAATGTCAGCCAATGAGAGCTGAATTGGGGGCTGAAAATTAAAGAGAGAATCTGGACATAGTTTATCTCTGTTCTGTGCTCACCTCTAAAGTGAAAGAGAAACTGGCTTGCTTGCTGAAACTGATATCTGCTCTGAGCTGCTGCTGCTTGTGTTTTTGCTTATATTACATTGAAAGAATCTACAAATGATATTGTGAACTTTACTTCAAATGTTATGTTGATAAAGAAGTTAATGACCCTGCTGAATCAGTCATCTGTGTGTTTTCTGGACTTGAATTTCTGCTGCAAAATCTAACGGTAATATAAGATACCAATAGGAGAAAGTAGTGGAAAAGATGAGAAGCATAATAATAATATAGCCATACCCATAAATATCCTTAGACATAAGGCAGTATTGTGGTTATAAGGTGTTGTAGCAGAGTGATGGCACAAGGGAAAAAACTGTCTTTGTGTCTAGTTGTTTTGGCTTGCAATGCTCTATAGTAGCATCCTGAGGGGAGATGTTGAAGCAGTTTATATCCAGGATGTGAGGAGTCTGTTGGGTATATGGATACACCAACTAGGTTTGGGTGAATAAATATAT